CTTCTGGGTCTGCCTCGTGTTTTGGATGAGTTGTGTTTTCACTGTCAATCAGACTGAAATATTTCCCCATTTTCCTTGTGATTTCTTTGACCCTTGGGTTATTTAGAAGTGTGTTGCTTAATTTCCAAAATATTGGTGGGATTTCTGGGTATCTTCCCAGTACTGTTCTTTGATTTAGTTCCTTTGTTGTCAGGGAACCTACCTGTGCGGGTTCCCTCTTTGGAGCGTGTTGAGGCTTGTCTTGGGGCTCTGCTCACGGTCTGGCCTTGCGAGAGCTCTGTGGCGCGTCTCAGGAGCCCGTGTCTGCTGCGTTGTGGGGAGGCCCCCTCAGTGCCAAGGTCAAGTTGGGTGAGAGCTGCGTTTTCACGCTGAAGAGCTTGTGTGGAGTGGACCTGGCCTTGGTCCTAGCGGGTCTTCGTCCGTCTCAAATGTGCCTCTGATGGCAGGCGCCGGCCTTGCGGGAGGAGAGGATGGGGCCCAGGCCCAGGAGCAGGGCGCTCGGGGCCTTGACAACCTACTTTGACAGCCCGCGTGTCCCCGGTCTGTTCTCGGGTCACCTCTGCCGGGATCTCGCCACCCGCCTGCCTGCTGTTACGCAATGTTTCTCCCAAGTCTTTCTCTGAAGGTTCGTCCCACTTCCCACGCTGAAATGGTTGCTCCAGCCTGGGCATCCCTGGGGCACTGTGTACAGTCTGGAGCTGTAGTGCACACGCCACAGGGCCAGCATCCCGCCTGCGTCTGTCCGCAGTGGTGCTGTTAGCGCCAGCAGCACGGAGCCCGGGCTCGCTTCCACCAGGACTGCAGCCCTGCGCGTGCTGGGGCAGGCAGTAGGCTTTTACGGAGTCAGTCCAAACTGAGACCTGCCGCCGTCCCTGCCCCTGGAGCCTGACAGGCGCACCTGTGAGACATAGCTGCAGCTCGGTGCCAGGCTGGGGGGCCGCAGAGGGGCTGAGCCGCCTGTGGTTGAGGATGGGCTGCACCGCTGAGGTCTGAGCGCGCCGCGGGGTTCCGCGATCCTGGGAGACGGGGCGTCCCTGGTGGCAGGGGTCCTCAGCAGCCCCCGGGCCTTGGCCTGACCTGGACAGAGCTCCACCCTCGGCGTGGCACTGGGGAGGTTTCAGAGGAAAGAGAAGAGGGGAAGAGGAAGGAGAAGGGGGGGGGGGTCCACACTGGAGGCAGCTGCTGCTCGGGCCACGTGCGAGGTGCTTGCACGTGGGAAGGGGCTGGTGGGCCACAGAGGGGTGAGACCCAGAGGAGACAGGCGTTGCCACTGTTGGCCCTGAGTGTCCTTGAGGGAGCAGCACCTCCCCCACTCTCACTAGACCCCTGCCCGGAGCCTTTGGAAAGGCCCCTCCCCACCTCTCCAAGCCCCACCCGGCTCCACGCCCAGTGTCCGCTCTCCATCAACACCGCAAACCCCTTGAGCCCTCTGGGCAGGGGATGAGGCCCCGTGGGTGGGAGTTGGGGGTCACTGGCTTTGTTTTGTGTCCGCACAGTGCCTGGTACTGTGTGTGCTTGGAAGGCCACGGAGGCCTGGCCCAGCCTTGTCTGGGCAGGGGTCCCAGGCTCCAGTGTGTGCAGACCCAGGGCAGGCCCTGAGCACGTGCCCGGCTGGGGGTGGGGGCAGCTGGCACTCGGCTGCAGGGTTTCGGTGACAGGGCGAACTTTCATTAAATAAACTATGAACGAGTTAAGGGGAATCTGGCGACCACTGGCCATGTTGGCCTTCAGTCTGGGGAGTGGGCACTGAGCTGCCGGGGCCCAGGCTTCAAGGAGGGCTCGGGTGGGACCAGACTTTGTTCTGTAAGGTGAGGAGCAGAGCAGGGTCATGGGAGATGCGGAGAACAAAGCTGGAGGGGCCTGGCCGCCTCGTGCCGCACAGAACAGGGGCCCGCACGGTCAGCGCTGCACCGTGCAGAAGCTGCCGGGGTGGGGTGCCCCAGTTTTCAAATGTTGCCTCAAGCTTTCAAAGCTACGTGGGGAGCCGCAGCTCCCAGCATCTGGCTCCTGCCCCGAGGGTGCGTGGCAGCTGAGGGTCTGGATTGCTTTGTTCTTTTTGGGATCCCTGTGAGGCCACCTGGGTGGGGGCGCAGTGGGGTGGGTTGGGGCGGGCCTGCCTGCGGTGAGTGCAGCCGGTGCAGCCGGCCTCCTGTGGTCGCCCCTGCAGTGGAGCGGAGGCGGAGGGACAAGATCAACAACTGGATCGTCCAGCTTTCGAAAATCATTCCAGATTGTAACGCAGACAACAGCAAGACAGGAGCGGTGAGTGTCCCCAGAGGCCCCAGCCCTCCGTCACTGTGGGGGCCCGGGCTGCCGCCGGTGCCTTGTCCCGGGGTGGTGCTCACGGCTGCCCTTGCCGCCCGCGCCCCAGAGCAAAGGAGGGATCCTGTCGAAGGCCTGTGATTACATCCGGGAGCTGCGCCAGACCAACCAGCGCATGCAGGAGACGTTCAAGGAGGCCGAGCGGCTGCAGATGGACAATGAGCTCCTGCGGCAGCAGGTGGGCTCCAGGGCCTGGAGCGGGGAGGGGGGTCCGGACGCCAGCAGCCAGCCCTGGCTCCCTGTCCCCTGTCGTGCCCACCAGATCGAGGAGCTGAAGAACGAGAACGCCCTGCTTCGAGCCCAGCTGCAGCAGCACAACCTGGAGATCGTGGGGGAGGGCGCCCGGCAGTGACGCCCGCCCCGTCCCGCCCACAGCTGCGTCGGCCTCGGCTGCCCCTTCCCCAGCCCTTAGCACAGAGAGGGACAGACGCCCCTCCCCCAGCTGCGTTTTTTATAGTAGATTTTTAACAAAAACGGGGAGAAATAATGCATTTCTGTGGATACATTGCCCACCGCCCTCCCCAACTTGGAAACAATATCCCCCCAACACGTCTGTCTGTCTGTCTCGTCCCGGCACTCCTGGTGGTCTCAGCTGGAGGCGAGAGGGAGGAGGACAGCGGCCCTGCCATACCTGCTGCCTCCTTGGGTCTCTGGAGGGACCGAGACAGGGTGCTTCGGGAAGGAGGGGAGTCTCTGGGGGGCCATCCCTGGGCCTGGGCCTAAGAGGGAGGCCGAGGCCCACCCCACCTCTTGTGTCTGGATCCCTGGTCCCCTTTGGGTGTGTGTGTGTATGCGTGTGTATGCGTGTGTGTGTGTGTGTGTTTTAATTTTCTTTATGAAAAAATGGACAAAAAAAATAGAGAGGTATTTAACTGCAATAAACTGGCCCCATGTGGCCCCCGCCTTGTCTGTCTGTGTGTCTGTCCATCTGAGTCCTGAGACACCCGGGGTCTGCAGAGCCCTCTGTGGGCAGGACAGCGTCGGCCCCTGCCATCTGCACCCAGGACCCAGGCCGTTGTTTGGATGGAGAAAGGCAGGCCTGAATGTCCTCCAGAGGTGCATAGGTGGGGTGGGGCGGGGCACCGGGGTAAGGTCGTGGCCCGTGTTGAAGGAGAGCCTGGGGTCTCCCTTGTCAGCAGTTCCGGAAAACAGACCTGGCTTCTGGTCTGAAGCCCTCCCCTCTGTGCTAGCCAATGGTGGGGCCTGGCCTTGAGCCCCCCACCCCCAGGGAGGGCAGGTGGCCAGAAAGCCGGGTTTGGCCCGTCAGCCTGTCGCCTCGCGCCGAGTCTCTGGCGCCTGTGCGTGACCCCTGCCCCGACTGATGATGAAACCTAGCCTGAGCTGGGATGCCCCAGTGAGTGGGCGGCCGGACTGGGGTCCCCCAGCCTCCTCTCACGAGGTCGAGGCCCCACAGTCTAGCCCACCCGGCAGAACCCAGCACCTTCCTGCCCCACCCCACGTGCCCCAGGGGGGTCTCTTCCCTCTGGGATCCCCATTCCTCTGCCCATTCCCATGGCAGGTATGGGGGGAGTGCGAGGGGCCTGCTGTGGAGTGGGCGGGAGGCACGTGGTGACGCCCAGCTATTGTCAGCAGTGTCCCCAGGGCGACCGCTCCAGGGTTGTGAGTGCCCCGGGCTGTGTGCACCTGCCTGGGGTCCAGCCTGTGGCCGAGGATGATGAAGGCACCACAGGCTGCCTGGTTCATGCCCCTCCCCACGCACAGGTGTCCTGGGGGCCCCGCTCCCCCACAACCCTTAGGAGGTGTAAGTAACCATTGCTTCGAAAAGTTGCAGGAAAGCATAGTTACTTTGCTTGGAAAATAAACCCATACGTAGGTTTTTCATCTTGCGAATCTTCCATGAGACCCCCAGCGCTGCCAACTTTTAGGTAGCCACATGGAGCCACTGAGGTGGACTTGGAGTGAGCCGTGCGGTCTACTCTGTTGAGCCGGGTCCAGTGTTTGGGTTGGGCTGGAGTCGCAGGCCTGCATGTGCTGGGCGAGCAAGGGTGGTCCCCGTCTGCTTTCACTTCCTCTCCTGTGACTTGGAGGACACCAGACTTGGATGGGGCAGGCCAGCAGGTGGGAGCTGCTTGGAGGCCGGGGGCCCTGGCTGTTCACAGGGAGTCATGGGTGGCACGCAGGTACCCAATGCTACTGCAACTGTTACTGCTGACTTGTAGGATCAAAAGCTCACTCAGACTTCATTTCCCACTTCCAGAGCCACGTCTCAAAAAGTGTTCTGACACGTGGAAAACACCTGGGGGCTCCCCCAACGCAACACCCCCTGCACCTGGGTTTGCTGTGGGTGTGTGGAGCAAACCCACAACAGTGCCCCCCTCAGCCTTGCTGGGTGCTGCAGAGGGGCCCGGTGCTGTGCTCCTGGTGTGTAGGCGAGGCTAGGGTTCGCCCACCTGTTCAACATCTGGGGCAAAACGGGGGATTTTCCCGAGACCAGCAGAGTGACGTCATGCCGGGGAAAGGGTTTGCAGGTGGCTGGCTGGCGGCATGTGTCTGTGGCCTCGTCTGCCCCGCCCCCTGGACACACTGCTGCTGGCGGAGGGTGACACAACCCTCCCCGTTCCCTGTCACTCTGTTCCCGCTTATCTCTCTCCCGCCTTTTCGGCGCCACCACCTTCTTGGAAATGAGTTTAGGGCAAAGGGGTGGGGGCTCAGACCACTGCCTCCCCTGGCAGGCCCCATAAAAGTGACTGTCACTGACCCAGACACCAGAGCCAGCCCTAGACCCGACAGCAGGACAGCCAGACGACGGACAGCCCAATGGCACTGAGCGTGCAGACTCAGGCTGCCTGCCTCCTGCTCCTTGTTCTCACTGGCCTGACCAGCGGCTCGGTTCTCCAGCAGCAGGTGAGAGCCTCCGGGACCTGGATCCTGGCAGGACACTGGGGCAGGATAGGGAGCTGCCGGGCGCAGCTGGAGAGCCCCCGGCACCGGGCAGAGCTCAGGACAGCTCAGGGTGACTGGCAGCTGCTTAAGGTATGCAGCATGGAGTTGCATGCGCATTTAAGTGCCACTGTATACACAGTGGGGATAGGCAATGAGCGAGGGAGATGGGAGAGAAGGTTTAGGCTCTGGCGGTGCTGAAGTCCTGGTCAAGGAATTAGTCAATGAACAATAAAACAAAAAAATCATTGTTTTGTGAATGCTATTCACGTACGACATGGAAGATGGTGGTAGATACCCGTGGGTGCAATCAAGGGGCTGGCAGACAAGCGAGAGTGCTTTTGGGGGAATCGGTGCTGACCTTGCTTTGGAGGATGGGAGACCCAAGCACACTGGGCCAGAGGACGCACGGTGTACTGGATGGTGATGAAGGGCTGGGGGTCGGGGGGGCTGGGGACAGATCACGCTACATCCGGTGGGCGACTGTGCGGCACGGATTCTTCTCAGAGGGCGGGGATAGGCGTGCAGGAGTCCAGAACCGACTGGCATTGTTAGAAGCCACTCTGCTATGTGGCGAACAGATTGGATGCAAGGGGCAAGATGCAGGGAGACTGGCTAGGAGGCTGGTGCTGGTATCTGGGCAAGGGAGAGTGATGTCCCAAGGAAGAACAGATCTGGGCTGTTTTTAAGAATAAGACTGGGGTGGGGGAGGGGACTGGCACTGTGGCATAATAGGTTAAGCCTCGGCTTATGGCACCAGCATCCCACGTGGGCACTGGTTCAAGTCCCAGCTGCTCCTCTTCCTATCCAGCTCTCTGCTCTGGCCTGGGAAAGTGGTAGAAGATGGCCCAAGTCCTTGGGCCCCTGCACCCCCATGGGAGACCCGGAAGAAGCTCCTGGCTCCTGGCTTCGGATTGGCCCAGCTCTAGCCATTTTTGTGGCCATTTGGGGAGTGAACCAGCAGACATAAGATCTCTCTCTCTGTCTCTCCCTCTCTCTGTCTATAACTCTGCCTCTCAAATAAATAAATCTTAAAAAAGAAAAAAAAAAAAGAATAAGAAGAATAAGGCTGCCCTGAAGCAAGGCATAAAGAGCAAGACCGGGAGATGCCGCCTCGGGGCCAGCTGAGCCGTGGCTCCGAGCGCTGGGGCGGCACAGGCTGGCAGGGCAAATGCAGGCGCTCTGCTGCCACCCTCAGTACCCCCTCTCTTTCCAGACACAGCAGCTCGCAGCCCGCCAGCCGCAGGACACAACCGGAGCCCAGACCAGCTTGATGGTGAGAACACGCGGACCCCCTGCCCGGCCCCCCAGCCCCTCCCTCCCACCCCACGCAGGCCCGGTGCCCGCTCACTCTCCTCCCTCCCGCCCCACAGCCTGCTGCCCACAGCCTCAGCCGGCGAGACACCCACTTCCCCATCTGCATCTTCTGCTGCAGCTGCTGTAGGAATTCAAAATGTGGGATCTGCTGCAAGACCTAGAGCCTGCCCGCCTGCCCGCCCGGCCCCGGCCCCCCTCCGCCCTTATTTATTCCTGCCGCCTTCCACATTTGTCTGGCAATAAAATGGATGGTTCTTTTATTTTCCACATCAGAATCTGAGGTTCTTTCTTCCTGCCAAATGCCTCCGCCAGGGGCTTTTTGTCCCCTGCCTGTTGGGCTGGGCAGGGTCGCTGCGACCTGGCGGTTGCTGGAAAGCTTGCTGAAGCCAATTCTGAATTCCCCGTCTTCCCCTACTTCAAGAGACCCTGAATTTAGATGAAACTTAAAGTTGCGTCTCCTTGAAGACAACTCAAACACCTACTAAGCCCTCTTATTAAGGGATTGGGGTGTGGGGGGGACACACCTTCTAGGGCTTGACAAAGTGGAAACTACTAAGGTATTAGCTGAGAGACCGGCGCTGTGGTGTAGCAGGTGAAGCCGCCACCTTCAGTGTTGACATCCCACATGGGTCTTCCATCCGCTTGTTCACTTCCCAAATGGCCGCAATGGCTGGAACTTAGCCGATCTGAAGCCAGGAGTCAGGAGCTTCTTCCACGTCTCTCAAAGGGGTGCAGAGGCCCAAGCACTTGGTTCACCGTCTACTGCTTTCCCAGACCATAGCAGAGAGCTAGACCAGAAGTGGAGCAGACGGGACTCAAACCAGCACCCCTGTGGGATATTGGCCCCGCAGGTGGAGGCGTAGCTCCCTGTGCCACAGCACATTTCAAAGCAACTGTAGATACAACACACAGAAACTTGAAGACTCTTTGGGGTCCTGAGTTTTTTCAGAGTGTAAAGGACTCCTGAGACCAAGAGGTCTGGGAGCCAGCGGCCACCGGGAACCCGAGAGCCACTGTAAACCAATGAGGCATTGGCTTTCCCACGGGAGATTTCAGGTTGTTTTCTGTCTGCAAGGATGCCCTTTGTGTGTGAAGTGCATGGGAGCACTGTCCACCTTCACAAGGAATTCAGTCCCCTCCATTTTCCTTTTCAAACATTTTTATTAATTTAACTTGAAGGGGGGAGTGGAAAGAGAAAGAGATCTCCCATCTGCTGGTTTGCTCCCCAAATGCCTTAATTTTAGGCAAAATATCCCGATTATTAAGATATTGGCAAGTGTTAAAAGGAATCTGAGTTTTTAAATCAACATTCTGCGAGCCAAAATAAACACAACGGGGAGCCAGATCACCCCTGCCCACTACCAACTTTTGCCTTCTGTCTCAGAAGCCGCTGCAGGCTGGTGGTGTGGGAGGAGCTGTGGGGAGCTTGGCCGCCTATCAGCTCCGCCCTCTTGCGATTGGCTTCTCCCCATCTGAAGCCCCGCCTCCTCAGCTATAAAAGCAGAGACAAGCCCTCCCCAGCCTTGAGCTCATCTGGCTGTTGAGCTACTCAGCGCAGGGGTGAACTCGAAAGTGTTCCGGAAACTGGCAAATGCCTCTTAAATGTGAGGGGGTTTGTACGGAGCGGGGAGGGCGGGACCCAAAATGGCTGATTGCGTTTAATGACAACAGGTGCTCTTCTCATTTTCCCAAGCAGGCCGTCCAGGGTGAGGGTGGGCGTGGTCCTAGAGATGTTGAGGCTGTGAAGCAGAGGGACTTGAACTTCAGCACTTGAACTTCACCTCTTGGCGAGCCCGTTCAGCTGCAGATCTCTGGGTCTGGTGGCCAGAGTTCCTGGGCGAGCAGGAGTGGGCTGGGGCCCTAGAACCCCTATTTCCAATAGGCTCGCAAGTGATGCCACCACCACTGCTGCTGGCTCAGGTTGTGTCCTGCGGGGTGAAGCCTCCAGCCCCGACAGAGGGCGGCCAGTGGCCAGCTCCACTCCAGACAGCACTGGGCTGGGAGCGGGCTGGAGAGCGTCACTGTCCCAATAGAGCAGTTTTGCTTCTTCACTCTGCACACTACTTTAGCTAAACCTGGAGTCCTAGCTGAACACCAGGATGCTTCACTAAACACTCGGGAAGTTCTGGATTGAGCTGAGTCCCTCAGCCCACAACCGCAGAATGCCATCTCTTACAGAGGTGGTCAGGCTCCAACGAAGCCTAGTCCAAGGTGAAAACGTGGACAGAGACGCAGACAGGTAGAAGCCGCGTCGATGTGAAGAACCAGAGACAGGGAGCTCCCACCTGCTGGCTCAAGTGCCTGCAGCCACCAGGGGATGGAGACCTCAGCTCAGGCGCCCTGCAGCTGTGGCAAGAACACAACCACTTGAGCCATCCCTCTGCCTCCCAGGCTCTGTCTGGGTTTGCAGGGTGCTGGGATTGGGAGCTGGAGCCAGGAGTGGAGCCCAGGCACTCTGAGACCCAGGCATCCTAGCTGGTGTCTTAACCACTGGGCTCACGCTTTTTCTTTTAAAAAATTATTTATGCATTTATTTATTTGAAAGAGAGAGAGAGAGAGAGAGAGAGAGAGAGAGAGAAAGACACAGAGAGAATATCTTCCATCTGATGGCTCACTCCCCCAATGCCTGCAACAGCCAAGGCTGGGCCAGGCTGAAGCCAGGAGCCCAGAACTCCATCTGGGTCTCCCACATGGGTGGCAGGGACCCAAGCACTTGGGCCATCTTCTGCTACCTTCCCAGGCACATTAGCAGGAAGCTGGATCAGAAATGGACTAGGCAGGACTCAAACCAGCACTATCAGCACTCAGATATGGGGTGCATGCCTCCCAGATGGCAGCTGAACCCTGTTCCTGCACCGCCCGCTCACCCGCCATGACCTGGCTTTGAAGCCACCAGTGTGCAGCCTTAGCAAAACAACACCCCAGCCTTCTCTAAAGATCAGGTGATCTGGCTGGGTCAGCCGGCAGCTGTGCCCTGTGGGCAGAGCACCGCCCCTTCCCCTCCCCTTCTCCACCTGTCTCCCTCTCGTGGGTGGAGACCAAGCCGCAGCACTCAGCGGGGGTTGTCAGGGTTCTCTGTGCATCTCTCTGTGCACCTGGGACAGCCTTAGGCCACACCCACAGACTGCACAGGTGCACAAGCCCCATGGGGCCGGGGTTGATGCTTAGGGCTGTGACATAGGAAGCCCAGGAGCTTGGTGTCCCCTCCGAAGTCCATGCACCAGGCCCCTCTCTTCTCGGGGACCCAGGCGTTCAAGCCCCACCCCACTCTCAATGGGCCTTTGTCCCTGGCTGGGAAAGGCACGGGCAGAGTCTGACATCATGAAGCAGAGGTGGGGGTGGGACTCCCCCCACACTCCAGCCTCCCGCCCCCCCCCCCGGCTGACTCCCCACTCCCTCGTTGCAGGGATTTCCCCGCCCCTCACCCCTGGGTTCTCCCTTGGGAGAAAGGACCCTGGCTCTCCACTGCTCGGGTCTGAAGGAGGCTGAAGAGCTGCTGGGCAGACCACTGCTACCCTTGGTCACCCCTCCTCCAGCACCGAGGGCCACCTTATAGAGGCCATGGCCACTGGGCAGGACACTGTGCGCGTGAGGGTCCTCACCCAGGCCAGCACAACCATCTGCATAGCAAGTGCTGCTCTAGGGGACACAAGGAGCCCAGGACAGAAAGGCAGACAGACAGACAGACAGGTTTCTGCTGTGGCCCTGTCCTCTGAGACCCCCTGGGCTGGTGGGAAAGCAAGGAGCCACATAGCACACCCAGAGGGCAAATCAGCGAGCGTGCTGAGGGCCAGGGAGAGGAGGGCGCCGAGATCAAGGGGTTTGGCTTGGCAAGGTGGGCGGGAAGTCTTCCGGGAAGAGGTGGCATCCATGCTACTGAGGCCACAGGGTGAGCTGGCTGTGGCCGGCGTCAGAGTTGGGAGCAAGACGGGGAGGGGTGGGGCAGCTTTCCAGGACAGGATGTAAGACCAACACCTCCAGCCACCTGCTGCTTGTTGGCGAAGCTTAACTCTGTGCCTGGAGCTGGTTCCGAGCAGAGATGGATGGAGAATAGGGCAGACGAAGCCTGGGCCCGTGTAGGGAGTGAGTGCTCAGGGTCAGCTCAGGTATCAGGAAGCTTCCAGAAGAAACTAGACCCGGATGACCGGGGGACTGGGGCTACAGAGAGGGCAGAGGTGACATGGAGGCTGACGGTGAGAAAGATTAGCCTCACCTCCTCCTCCTGCCCACACCAGCCTCTCCTGGCCTCTCAGGATCCAGGTTGCACCTAATATCGCCACCAAAATGCACTGAAGACAATGCCGCCCGTCCTTGAGGCTGGAACTTCCAGGGAAATTAGGCCACGCCCCCACCAAGGCCCAGAATCAGGGTGCACGGTGATGAAGAAAGGGGAGCAAGCAAGGCAGCCACCCCCCATCCCCTCCAGGAAGGAGCGAGTGGAACCCAGGCATCAGGCTGCCCGGTCCGAGCCCTGCGGTGACAAGGGCCCCTTTGTGCCCCCTCCCCCAGGGGCAGGGAGGAGCTGGGCCCTGGAGGCAGGCGGCCCCTGGCACCCAGAGGGAGGGGAGGGGCCAGCAAGTGGGGGCCTAGACCCTGGGAGGCCAGGAGACTGGGAGCTGGGCCTGCGGAGCAGAGGGTGCAGAAGGCAGAGCATCCAAGTGAGTACTGCAGTGGAGACGGCCAGGGCGTGCGGGGGAGGGCAGAGCATCCTGGGGGCAGGACGAGAGGCCGGGAGCTCGGGCGGCGGCGGTGCCCAAGGCTCGTGCAAGGCGAGGCGCTCCTGGTCGCAGTGGGTCACTGCAAGTGGCCACTCCTTTAGGACGGGGGACGGTGTTGCTTGCCAGTGCTTTGGTGGGGAACAGAGGTGGGACTTAGAAAGAAGCCACAGAGAGAAAGAACAGGCAGACCGTCCTGGGCACCCCTCCTGGCTGCAGGGTCCAGAGGAGTGGCTCCCCTGGGGCTCCCAAGTTTGGGGCAGATGGGGTGGCAGTGCTGTGGGGCTGGACGAAGCGCAGAAGGGTGATCGGTCACCTGGATGGGGGCCAGGGTCCGGGGTGTGTGGGTGAGCAAGCTGCTGCACCTGGGCGCACGCCAGCTGCATTCGCTCACGCGTGCATGCACGCCTGCCCAAGCACCTTCCTTGTGTGTCTCCAGCAGCGCCTCTCGGCTTTTGTCCACTACACTGTGCTAAAGAAACCCTGGAGCTGTTTTTCCTCACGCGGTCGCGCCTCTGAAATCCCACCCTGGCAACCACAGACTGTGGTCCT